GGCGGCAGCCCGTAAATATATACATATAATATAAACCGTCACCAGTGACAGCACATTGTGCAGCGGCAGCCTTGGACGCCTGCCGCCTGGCCTTGCGTTCAACAGCATCCGCCAGGTCCGCGCAGTCCTTACCAAGATTTACCAAGTAGGCTCGTCGGGTCTCTGAAGGGTTCAAGAGCTCTGCTTGGTCTTATAAGGCTTACCTGCTAAACCCTTGATCCCTGAATAAAGCATGGGTTCCTCAATTGTCTAAGAATCAGGCGACTTGACCAATAATTTCTGGCCGGGGCAACTTTATGCGTAAATGCGTTTGCGGCCGTTTCGGAGTTGCAGGGTCTCATGAGAAGGGCTTGCAGTGTTGTGTTCAAGATCTAGCTCGTGTCTTCAGGCGACAGCTTTCTTCCAGCCCGACATTATCTAGCTCGTGTCTTCAGGCGACAGCTTTCTTCCAGCCCGACATTATACCTTACCCTAAACCCTATATAATCCCTTATAAACTCTAAACCCTAAACCCATGCATATAATATGTGTGTCGTATATAACAAACAAAGCCGCTTTCTTCCCAGCCCGACACTATACCTTACCCTAAACCCTAAACCCTTATAAACTCTAAACTCTAAACCCAGGCATATAATATGTGTGTCGTATGCAACAAACGAAGCCAACCCTTCGCTCATGAGTGTCATGATGGGCTTCGTGATCGTGGCCTCCGTGTGGAGCCGGCTTGTTTTGTACTGGGTTGATTGGTTAGCTGTGGTGGGCATGCCATTTAAGCTTTCTTGCAGGCTTTTCGCAGGTGAAATTTTGGGCTTCCGAAAGCTCTTTTTTTAGGGTTCGCAGTGCTGGTGGCAATGGATGCCCTCGCGGATGCTGAAGTGAAGGACTGCTGTGAAGATGAGACAGAAAGTTGTCCATATGGGGGGCTTGCAGACTTGTGGGACAACTGCCGGGAGGTGAGGAGTCGCATGCGAAAGAAGTTCAACCTGTTGGTTCATTTCGATCCCAAACTTCGGAAGTTCTTCAATGTAAAGGTGGAGAAGACGGTCTACAATGTTCGGGCAAATGCTGCAGTTTTGAGGCCAATTCTGAAGATTATGAAGCTGCAGGGTGGGCTTCCGCCCATAGACAGTCTCACGGAGCAGGTGAAGGAATTGTTCAATACCTATTCTACTCCCATTTCAGAGAATCAAGCAAATTCACAATCGTGGGCCATTCGAGACCTGATTTCAATCCTGAAGAAGAACAAAAAAAAAGGCATGGCAGGAGGACCGGATTGCCAACAAGTAGCATACTCGAAGCTGTCTGTTTGCAATGTGTTACCCACTTCCCATTGAAGGATCCGGAGACCCGGCAGCTTCTCTTGGACATGGGTGTGATTGAGGAAGAGGTGCATGGGATACTTGTTGGGTTCAGCTTTTCGCCTTTTAGCTAGCCGTTGACGGTCATGCCCGCACACAGACAACTTTGAACAGGCGGATGGGCGACTGAAGTTGGTGTCCGAGCCTTCAAAGGGTACATCTTCCAAGGAGGCCATTTGTCAGTGAAAGCGCGGAAATTTGAAGCTCAGCATGCCATAGGCCATAGAGTGCATTGAATTGTATCGTGCAGGACTCTTTGCCTTTCTTGAAGCCGGCATATGGGGACGATGATTCCCAGCTTACGGGTGCCGAATCGCAGCCGATTCAATCCGCATCGGCCCCAGAAGACTCGCAACCGATTCAAGACGCTGTGGCCCGAGAAGACTCGCAGCAGCCGATTCAAGACAGTGTGGCCCCAGAAGACACGCAGCAGCCGATTCAAGACTCTGTGGCCCCAGAAAACTCGCAGCCGATTCAAGACTCTGTGGCCCCAGAAGACTCGCAGCCGATTCGAGACAGTGTGGCCCCAGAAGACTCAAAGCCGATTCGAGACAGTGTGGCCGCAGAAGACTCAAAGCCGATTCGAGACAGTGTGGCCGCAGACGAGTCGCAGAACCTCGCCGAGGCCCCACTCTGTGATTGCAATTTGGACCTTCCGAAGATTCATGTCATGGCTATCTGATCGGTGTGATGGCTTTGCTTTCCTGTTTAGACAGACATGCAACATGTATAATATAAACATGTTATAATGTGGAGCCCTATTCATGATTGCTTGTCAGGGTCCATCCGCTTCAGAAGCCCCACATCCAGAGGCCGTCATTTTGCTGATGGCAAGAATCGGTCGCAGCGACTGTAGTAGAATTCCATTGCCGGGGCAGGTGCAAGCCGTCTTGTCGTCGGACGAGGAGACTACTCAGTTGGGAAGCAGTAGCCGCGAGCACCTTTCCAGGGTCCTTCATGGCCTCCTGACACAGGTGTGTCTTACCTGAATTGAATGATCGAGTCGTGTATCTGATGTTCGGTGTGGAAGGTGTTTTCTGATTGTGCACGAAATTGGTGTGCCACTGTTTAGTGAAACCAAGGTACTCATCGGGGGGTGTCTCGAACTTTGTGCAGCGAGGTGCAGTTCAAGTGCAAGCCAGCCCTCAGCATGGTTCCTTGCCTTTAGACTGACTGCCTCTGTGCTTCGATTTTTGAAGCTGCAGTCCAATGTTTGAAAGGTTCTGGAGCATCTGCTGCAACGGCATTGCCAAGCTGTTCCGAGCAGAAGGACGAGGCACTCATGAACCATATGTTGTTTGCTAGGCTTCCGGAATTGTGCTGGTTATCCGATCGACGGCTGCAGTAAGCATCAGATCCGTGTAAGTCCTTTCCTTGTGCAGGCCCTTCCGGAGACGGCTGTTGATGCTGAGAAGGCTGAGGGCGAGCATCCCCCCCAGGAGGAGGACAATGCTGTGCCCATGGAGGAGTCTACGTTTCCAGAAGTTCCACAGGAAGGCTATGTGACACGCAGGGCCCAGTTCGGTGCCAAACAGGCATTGCATGAAGCTGATGGTCGCAGAGGCCGTGGAGGTCGAGGGCGGGGTCGTGGTCGAGCAACGGCTGCAAAGTCAATGGCGAAAGAGAAGAAGGAACCCGAAGGGAGGAACAGTTCCTCCAGCAATGGGCCAGTCGAGAAAGGATCAGAGCTCCGCCGCATGAAGCGACATGTGGCAGCCGAGGACGGGGATAAAGATGAGACCGGTGATGACTCGCCGGCCTCACGCGAGGATTCGGCGGACACGAAGCAGCCGAAGCCAAAGGCCGGAGCAAAGGGGAAGGCGAAAGCCAAGGCCAAGGCTTTGCCGAAGGGCAAAGCTAAGGCCAAGGCCAAGGGGAAGTGCAAGGCGAAATCGTCGCCGGGAGCCGATGATCCCGGGAATGATGATGATGATGATGATGATGCTGTGGAGCCCACGGGCAAGAAGGCCAAGCTTGATGTGGAGCCACGGAGCAAGAAGCCCAAGAGTGCAAAGCACAATGATGATGTGGAGCCCGCGAGCAAGAAGCCCAAGCTTGATGTGGAGCCGGTTAGCAAGAAGGCCAAGAGTGCAAGCCGCCCGGAGGCTTTGGAGACAGCCTTCAAGAACACCTTCCACCGCCTCACCCAGCAGCGAAAGCCCGAGCCCTTGGTCTTCCGTGACATGAATGCCGATGCTCTTTTGTCCAACCCGGACCATATTCGTAACGTGCTCAAGTACGAGATCATGAAGTGTTTGATCCAGTGCTACACGGCCGGCGAGGCCGACAAGAAAGGCAAGCACAATCACTTGGAGAAGATGGTTGCGCCTGTCAACTACCGCTACGAGTTGTATTGGACGCGATCCTCAGTGGGGGTCAAGAGGCAGGAGGGCGACGAGATGAAGCAGATTGTCTATTTTTCGAGGCCAACTACGTGCACGGGCACGAACCGGATCTTGGCACACTATTTCGTCGGGGGGCCTGGATGGTTTCTCGAATGGTGTGTGTGATGTGCCATGCATGATTCGGTCGGGTTTTTGTTGGCCTCAGTTGCTTTGTGCTCCTCGCTTCCTGAGACAACCCCGCCTACTTGCAGAGCTCTGAGTCATTTCAAAGCCATCGCTGCGACAGCACACTCCGAAGCTTTGGAGGGATGGCTGCCGTGAACCGTGCAGCATCTGGGGTGCCTGCAGTATGTGTGGACTTTTAGAGTCAATTTGGCCAATCGTCTCGGACATCGGTTGGTGTTGCTCTTCACAGCAGACCTGCTTAGGTGCCACACTAAATCCTGCAGGCATCGCTTTTGAGATTGTTCCCAGAAATGGAACTCTAGGGGGCGAGCAGCATGAGCATCATCAAGCTAAACTGCAGCATGGTTGCACACATGTATACACGCAGACACATACACATGCACACATGTGTTGTTCACGCCGACTGCTCGCATGATTCAGCCAGGGGTTGTTTGAGCTGAAGCTATGACAAAACACGGTTCCCCGAATCGCCAAAAAGACGGTGTGCAACTGCTTTCTCTGGGCTTTCGTCATGCAATTAAACCCTAAACCCCTAAACTCCTAAACCCTATAAGCCCTAGAAACCCCACAATGTGTTCACAAGCAAGCTGTAACATGGCAGGTGGGATGCCGAAGCGATCTCGAGACGATGTTCGTTCATTGCGAATGGACAGTTGGCTGGCTCGCTTGCTTTGCCCAGATTCATACTTCCACGATTCCAGGTTTCGACTATAATTGAGACCCATCGTTGTCTAGAGACTATGCACTGGGCCATTTTACTTCTTCGACCGCAAGGATTCCTAAACCCTATAAACCCTATAACCCTAAATCGTGGTATACCTCACGTCTGAAGATCGAAGCTGGGCATCGGGGTGCATAGGGGTCTTAGGTTCTGACGAGAGCTGGCTTTATTGTGTCTGAGGATCTATAGGCTTCAAGCCTCGCCGAGTTTAGAGTCCTGACTTTTCGGTGTTCGGGCACTGAGGTTTCTGGGGATTGTTAGAGTGTTTAGCTTTGCTAGGGACGGCCGGTTTCTTTAGACTCTGCCCTTTCTTTCCTATTCTATAAACCCTATACCGTATAAATCTTGAAGGAGAACACCCCACCCTGTAATAGTGACCGTATATAGAGGGGATATTGTGGTCATCTCTATACATATTGTGCCACTATTACAGGTTGGGGTGTCCTCCCAACCTAAACTATAAAAGCCTTATACCCTAAACCCTATAATATAAGCCCTGCAACATCCCACGGTCTCGCCTCGCATGTGACCACATCTGATGTTGGCCCAGCATCGAACACTCATTTTGCCGAAAGCCGGAACACCGATCGACTCATGTGTCGCAGCTCTGATCCGCCAGAGCAGATTTCCACGCACCGGCACTTTAGCAAAGCTTCGTGCTACAACTATACATTTAAACTATATGGGTATATGGGGCTTTCCGAAAATTAGGGTCTACAATATTTGAGTATATATACCTTATTGTGGGGTCCGCATTATTCTATAAGATCCTATGTAGTATTTAATCGTAGGGTCCCTTACTTTCGGAAACCCCATGTAGAGTATCTATGTGTACAGTCCACTTATTTTAGGAATTCTCAGAAGGTCGAGTTCATGTAGCTTCTACGCCATGGGTTGCCGACGAGGCAAGCCAAGAATGATCCCAGACAGCACAAAGAGCCACCTCTGAATGACTTGATGCTCCCCAAATCCCAAGCCAAAACTAGAAGCCCTGGGCACTCTCGGTTCTGTACAAACAAAAGCAGACAAACTCACCGATCTCAGGTCCACTTCGCCTTCGTCATCCTGGTGCTGTTGCACCGAACATGCTTGAGCTGCTCGGAATATTGCTGGGCTTCAGAGGGATCTGGCACTGACTTTGGGTGTGTGAATTGTCGGGTTGTTCAGAAGCAGTGGACGAGCCAGAGTATGCAAAAGTTCTTGCATAGCATGAGGCAAGGGAACCCAAGCCGTCCGACCCAGACACCGAGTAGAAATACTGACAAGATTCTCCCACCTCAAGGCACAGATGTTGTCGTCGCGATCTTCAGCAACAACCTGGGATGAGTTGGAGCGACTCTTTGCCTGTATGGTTGAAGCAGCCAGCTGTGTGATGCTGGGTGATTTCCTGGGGTTTGAAACCTCAGGGTTTAAGGTGTAGTGCTCGGCGATTTTAGTTGTTGAGGGGTTCTTTTATGGGGCTTTCAAACCTCAAGGTTTAAGGTGCTCGGTGAGTTTATAAAGGTTGAGGTTCTTTTATGGGGTCTTGAAGCCACAGAATTTAAGGGTTATAGTGCTCGGGGATTTTAGAGGTTAAGGGGTTCTTTTTCGGGGTTTTAACACCTCAGGGTGTAAGGTCTATACATTATACCCTATATTACACTCGGTCTATCTAATTTTACTATACAATACTAGACTCGACTGTATACTATACTTTACTACAACAGAAACCTCACCCCTAAACCAATCCTAGCCCCTAAACCCTAAACCCTTAAACCACGGATCCTGAAACCCCGGAGGCCCTAAACTCTAGGGTCTAAGTATATAATATAATAAAGGTGTACAGAGGTTTCTAGGGACTTCGGGTTACGGTCGGCATGATGCTTCAGTTCCAAAGACTAAGCCCTGTAAGGCCCTAAGTCACGAACGAAGATCCTGGCAAGCAACAGAACCCATTCTAAACCCTGGAGCCACAGCAATTCCTTCAACACCGTCCAATTGGTTTCAAGAAAACCTTAAACCCCACAAGCCCCTAAACCCGATTTCCTTAAAGCCTGTGTAACCCTCCAAATGCACATACAAGCTACGGAGCACGGGCAAAAGCTCGCCCAGAACGAACAGAAGCACGGGGAGCTCAGTGGCTCCAGAAGGCCGGACTTGGGGCTTCAGGGTTTCGGGTATACAAGAATTACAGGACTTTGGGTCATTGTCGGATACTAAAACCCCACAAATGCCAAAGCCCTTATAAAAGCCCAAACGAAACCTTAAATTCCAAAACCAAGCCCTAGACTCTTGGGCCATTATAGGGTAGGCTAAGTGAGACCACATGGAAGCCACTCAAAAATTCCTTCTGTAGACCTTCTGCCCCGGAGAGAGAGAGAGAGTGTGTGTGTGTGTGAGGGAGTGAGAGAGTTAGAGAGTGAGAAAGAGCAGGAACAACATTCCTGCCAAGTGTCACAGGTGATGCTGTCCGGCACAGAGATCCTGGACAAGATGGATGGGAGACAAGACCGGAATGCTTTGGAATGCATTAGAGGGGCTCTGCTGGGGATTGCAATGGCTGTTTATCGTATCGAGGATAGTCTCACCTCTAAGGCTTGTATGTGCTCTGAATGGCATTTGCCTGCAGGTCTTCTTCAGAAGATACATAGAAGGTTTCTTTCGTGTTAATCCTCACAGAGCCTCGGTTCTATTTGTGGATCGAGTCAGATTTGTGCTTGGAAGGCGAATCCTGATTCTAGCTGCTAGTGGGACCCAAGTACCGGAAGTTCTTCTGCTATATCTGCATACATACATATGTTTGTGTATCCATGTGTATATCTGTCTGTCTGTAGGTCTGTCTATCTAACTAACTACCTAGCTAACTAACTAACGAACCAACCAACCAACGAACTAACTAACGAACTAATTAACTAACGAACCAACTAGCTAGCTAGCTAACTAACTATAACTAACTAACTAACTAACTAACGAACTAACTAACTAACTAACTAGCTAGCTAACTAACTAAAAATAACCAACCAAGCAACCAGCCAACCAACCAACGAACGAACAAACTATCTATCTAACTGACTAACTAACTAACTAACTAACTAAGTAACTAACTAGCATTATCTATCGATTATATATCTATATATCTATCTATCTAGGTGGGAGGTCCCGCCCGAAATCCAGAGCCTCAAGGGGGGGTTTGGAAAGTGGGGGTTTGGGGGGGGGGGAGGCTGGGCTGCGGCTGCTGGGCTGGGCTGGGCTGGGCTGGGCTGGGTGACTGGGCTGGTGAGGGGGCTGGGCTCGCCGATTGGGGCTGGGTTGGGGCTAGAAGTGGTTTGGAACGGTGGCAGCGGCTGACTTTTCTAGGAAAGAACTTTTTTTTGTTGTTTTTCTTGCTAAAAAGACCTTTCCGTTGCAAAATGCGTTGGGACCCGTTGGATGCGTGGGGTGCCATCTGGTACCTGTTGGAAGCGTTGGCGAAAATGCGTTAAACACATCAAATGCGCACCCGTCGGATGCGTTAAAAGCGTATGCGTTCAAAATGCGTTCAAAATACGTTCGAAATGCGTTCGCTATGCGTTCGGATGCGTTCGCGAAATGCGTTAAAAACGCGTGGAATGCGTTCCCCCGAGCCACCCACTTTGGGGCCAATTTTGCAAGCAATTCGTGGCCACGTGTCCCGTTTTAACGACACATATGCGTTTTTTTTATCAGCCACCCGGAAAAAAACCTCTGCTTTTCTGGAGGACAGGGGGGCGACTATATGGGCAGTTTGGTAAATATATACAATGCATATAGATTATATACATAATCTCCTTTCTTGGTTGTTCGGAACTTATCACATGTGTGCATCCTACATTGTATCTGTATAGATTACATTCATAAAATGTGCATGTCTATGTGTCTCATGCACACCATATATCCCACATGTGCATGAATGTGTGTGTATGGTATATATGTATATAACATCATACATGCATGTATATCATACTCGCTTGTCTCTAAACACAACGACACACACATTATATATTATATGTGGCTACATATCTTCATACATATATAGTTTATATATATATATAGCATATATATAGCATATATATAGCATATATATATATATAGCATATATATATACATCCTGGGAGTCTGATGTATGCACACACAGACACATGTAATACACAGTCGGTACTTGGGCCCAATCATGATCTGTCAACCTCCTACACTATACCCGTAAGCCCATAAACCTCGAACCACTGGAAGATTAAATGCTTGCACACCAACAGAAGCCATGGAGCTTGGTGGTTCCGAGAACTGCCACGAAGCCTCCTGGTACTAAGAAACCAAGACCCTAAACCCTTAAGCCTCACCCTCACATATAAGCCTCTATAGAACCCTAAACCCCAAAACCCCGGTATGATTTATATAACCCTCTCTAGAACCATAAGCCCCAAAACCCCGGTATATATAAGCCTCTATAGAATCCTAAACCCCCCAAAGCCCCAAAGGACCGAAGCCGCAACTCATTATGAAGGCGACAAACTTCAAGCCCCTAGAACCCTGCAGCAATAAGTAACCAAGCCCTCTGCAACCAATCTCGTGTCGAGCTGTGTGATCGGTCTTTATGAGAAATGCAGACCAGCCGGATCGATGCTAGAGCCTGCTGAAGAAAAGAACGATCCTATGTTGTGCCTCAATCGGACCTCGCTTGCACTTTCGCACATGGAAACATCCAAAGTCTCACCATGCTGTCTGTGTGTGACCCAAGACTTTTCTTAGGCACCCCTGCATTTTGCATCCGGGGTGCAAGCCTTCCAGAGCATGGCATCCACTTCGAATGCCTGGGCCACTGGCATATCTACAGAAGATTTGGTCAAGGGAGCAAGGGCAACAGCTGATCTGGCAGGGTTAGAGCTTGCCCTTGACACCTCCTTTCTCTCAAGAGATGCACTGGTGCAAGCCATTCAGGACTGCTGTTCTGGTATGCACCATAGCCCCCTAAACCCTAAACCTCTAAACGCCTAAACCCTAAACCAAGGATTATATACAAACCGAACCCTGATCAGGAGTGCAAGATGATCTTGAGAAAAGGATGCAAGGACTCCAACTCTGAATGAACAATATATAGGAATGGTTTGCTTTCTCCAATCTTGCAGGCCACAACAGCACCGAGCCCTCTCCTGGCTGTCAAGAAGGAGATCGTGAAGATCGAAGGAGCCGCCGATTCGCAAAAGACACAGCCAGCTGAATATTGACTGCATTGGCTCTGTCCTCTCTCTCTCTCTCTCTCTCTCGCTCCTTGTCTCTCACTCTCTCTCTCGCTCCTTGTCTCTCACTCTCTCTCTCTCTGTCTGTGTCTCTCTCTCTCTCTCTCTCTCTCTCTCCTTGTCTCTCACTCACTCTCTCTCTCTCTCTCTCTCTGTCTGTGTCTCTTTGTCTCTCTGTCTCTCTCTCTCTCTGTCTGTGTTGTCTCTCTCTCTCTCTATCTCTCTTTCTCTCCCTCTATCTCTGTCGTTTCCTCTCTCCTCTCTCTCTCTCTCTCTCTCCTCTCTCTCGCTCTCTCTCTCTTGTCTCTCTTTCTCGCTCCTCTGCTGCTGAGGATACCCAGGAGCTGCCGCCCACGCTCGCCCCGGCAGTGGTGCCACCTAGGATGGGTGGCATCGAGGACTTGGCTTGGTCCCATATGTTTATAGGGTCTATAGGGTTTGGGGTTTAGGGTGGCGGTTGCTGGTCAGGACACTGTGCCGGATCAGGAAACCCTCGCCGCACATCAGGAGACGAACACCCAGGAGGTCGGGGTTAGCTGCCCTAAACACTACGAACCCCATAAGCCATATACACCCGAAAAATTAATAGATCGCGACCCAAAACCCTAAGCCCTAAACCCTTCCTTTAGAACCCCAAACCCTTTGGACGATTCCCTCTCGCGAGGATCCGGATCAGTCAGGGCCTTCGAGCCAACCGATATTTGGAGTTGTAAATGTCGATGACACTCTCACCCCAGCAAGCCCACCGAAGCCCCTGCAAACCCAAGCGAGCCCAGAGAAGCCCTTGCAGGCGAACCCAGAGCAGCAAACCCCCAGCAAATCTGTCGAGTCTCCAACCGGCACACCAGGAACAACCCCAAGCCCAAAGAGCACAGCATCGCAAGGCGAGCTTTTGCAGTTGCAAGCCAAGATCAAGGAGCTGGAGACTCAACTGGCCGGAAAAGCAGCCCCGCCACGCCCGAGCCAAGTTCCTTGCCAGACCCCGCAAAACCGAGTCCGATCCAAAGCCCCACCGAGCCCTGCTCCTAGTTCAGTGCCAGATGCTGCCAAGATCACGGCAGAAGATGACGACAACGACGAAGTCGATGAAGGCGAAGGTGGCGACGCTGCCGGCAAGGTCACGGTGACCTCGCCCGACGGCACGATCGTTTCTTGATAGACCATTAAAAACCCTAAATCTAAACCCTGCCTAAACCCTAAACCCTAAACCCCTAAACCCCTAAACCCTAAGCCCTTGGGTTCAGGATAAAAGCTAGATAGGGGTATGTGTGCTTTACAGGTTTCAAGTTCGGGTACGGCTTTTCCGGGGCTTTCGACCTCGTTCGACCCCACACCCTATAATTGTATCTTTGCAATGGCCAAAGTGTGCAACAGGTCTTGACCCAGGATGCCCTCAGAATGAGATTGAAGAGACTGTGTGAGAAGAAATCCAAATCCCAGAAGTGCCATGTCGACGATGAAACTCACCAGCAGTATCTCTCCGGAGGGCCAGAAAGGGAGTGGCTGGAGATGGCTTTGCTGGAAGCTTTGCAGTCGGTGGGCCCGGAGGCTCTTGGACGTGGCAAAGCTGCCCACAGACAGGTGCAGGCACCTAGCTTGCAAAGCCTTACCCTAAACCCTAAACCATCCTAAACCCTATATACCTCTAGCAGAGCGCCGATTACAATGATAATATTAGGTTTCAGGGCTTGTGGTTTCGGGTCCTCAGGGCTTTCGAGCAAAGCCGGCAAACCACTGCAACCAAAACCCAAACGATTGCCCCTGTAAACCAACACCTTCTCGAAACTTTTAGACACCTTAGCTGAAGCTCCCCAAAACCCTGAATCCCCTGATCCTGCATTCGTAAATTCTAGCATCCCTGAATCCTAAAACCCACAGAACGACAGGCCTCCTTGATCCTGCTTCTCCTCCGCCCGAGGCCTCCTTCAAAGTCCAGGTGACAATGATCCGAGAACGGCGACATCTCAAGGAATCCGAAAGCAACGGGGAATGGTTAACCGAGGAGCGAATGCAGAAGAGTGGAGAGTATAGCAAGCCACTAGGTTTGATCTTGATTGTGTCTGCTCCACCACTGCATGCAATCGACTCATGCAGTCACCCAATCCCAAGGCAGACCATCAAATCGATCGTCTCCTACTGCGAGCGGTTCCCCCAGGTCTTGACGAGGCCCTGATTCATGACGTGCCAGGATATACCCGTCAGTTTGCTGCAGCTTCCTTCTATGCCTGACTACAGGAAATGGAAATACAATAACGATGTGCTTGAGTACTTCGTTGAAACCTCCACCAAGCAGACCATCAAGCACTCCGAGCTCCTGAAACGTGTTGAGACAACGCAGGCCGCCGATGCCCAGCTGCATTCGGAGGTAGCATGAACCTCGGCTGTGGTAAAGCATGCTACTCAGGAGAGGGAGGCTGGAGACATGCCGACCGATGTCCAGCAAGTTGGTATGGTGAGCGAAGGCGAGGCAAAGCCCAAGAACGAACAGGTGGAGGACAAGGCGAGGACACGTAGAGGACAATCCTTGTTACTATAGGGTTTAGGGTTTAGGGTTTAGGGTTTATGTGTTATGTATAGCAATTGTGCAGCAACTATAACAGCAGCCTTTTGTTGCAGGTTCTGCCGGACCTTGTCAAGCTGATGGATTCCGTGCATGGCCATATGGCCTCGATCGCTAAGCTCCAGAAAAGTATTTCCGACTCCGAGGACGGTTCCAAACTGCCTCCAGCCAAAGAGGAGTCGCTTAGCCTAAACTTATAACCCCTAAACCTCAAACCCAACAGTTTCTGTGCACGCGGTTGTGTCCAAGCCTCAGCAACACTCCAGACAACTCGCTACCTAAGTCTGATGAAAGACCTGGACAACCTCGATGGATCCTTTCAAGAAGCTTTCATCGAGCTGGCAAAGGTGAAGGCCGAGCTTGTGGTTTGCCAGACGGAAATTTTGACTCCCGAGCTTCTCAGATTCGCATTAAATTATGTCCTGAACCCCAAACCCTAAACCCTATAAACCCCTAAAGTCCGACACCCATCATACACGCCCAGGTGCCGGGACAAGGTGGCTCGTGCCAGGAACACCATCAAGAAGCCGCAGCTCACCTCCATTTGTTTTTGAAGTTGTGTGGGGCTACTGTACAAGGATGTCATTGCTTCACATTTGATCTTAGGTGTGCCGATCTGATTGCAATGGAATCTCGGGTGAAGCTTCTCGGCTTTGTGGACTTTATTTGCACACGCATGTTTGGCGACTCTTCTCCTATATCCCTGTACAAGGTTGGTTCTGCTGGAGCTCAAGAAGGGTCTCAAGCGAGGGGCCGACATCAAGCAAACAGACAATAAGGCTCCGAAGGCAAAGGCGGCACGCACGAAGAAGTGATGCTTTCTCGATCTCTGTACAGCTGAAGTTTGACAACACGTGTGGTGTGTGACTTCACATGCTGCATTGCAAGCAAATGCTGCGAGCAGCAAGACTCCCAGTGCACTGATAATTCCGCAAGATCCTCAGGATGCTGTTCGCTGTGTGACAACACAGAACCCCGGGTGCACGAAAAGCCTGAAGTCCAGCCCGTGATTGCTGCGAATTGCTTATATACCCAAACCCTATAAACCCTAAACCCTAAACCCCATAAACATAGAACCTCGTATCTTTCAAATGCCAGGTCCCTCCGATGCTGCTGAGCGGCTGGCATGGAGCTATGCCACTGGGGTGGCTCGCCATGACGGGTCGTGTTCAGAATCTTCAGAAGCATATCAGTGCATGACAGTGCATGCCGGTTTTCGTGCTGCTAGGTTCAGGGTTCCCTAACTTTAGGGCCGGCTCCTGCTTCCGAGGCCCCGTGCACTGACATTATCCAACAGGCCACTTCAATCGTGCACTATGACATGCGAGATCGACAAGAGCAAAAAGATCTGCAAATTTGCCCCGTTCTCTGGGACCTCTACAATGCAGCCGAGACGAAGTCTGTGCTTCACAAGCAATTTGTGTACCCTGCAAAAGCCCCTCTAAGCCCTATAGTCCTAAATCCTTATAATATATAAGCCCTGTAACCCTACAACCCTACACCCTCTAACCCTAAACCTAGGCAGCCAATTCCACGCACGATTCCTGATCTCAGTTTAGGAGACTGTGGTGGCCCGGGCTTTTGCCAAAGCAGGTTTACGACTGGATGTGAAGTTATCTTATGCACATGTGGGGCAATACCGCGAGCACCCATACATCCCTGTATCATCTTGGATTCAGTCTTTAGACCAAGCCGGGCGGCTGGGAAAACTGGTGGGCTGCTCCATGGATGACTTGCCCAAGGTGCTTTCTTCTTACTGGGCCAACTTCAAGCAGGTCCACCCCAAGCACCAAGTTTTCGATCTACAAACTCCTCTGGACCGTTGCTTACCTGTTTACTTGCACGGGGACGAGGGAACTACCTATAAAATGGACGGGGCACTTGTTTTGTCATTCCAGAGCCCACTTGGCAGAGGGACATCCAAGAACAAAGTGGGCAATGTACTTGGAGGCAACAAGCAGTTTATGAACTTCATTGGACATGCTTTCGAGACACGGTTTTTGATTGTGGCCGGCTTAAAGGAAGACTACCGAACTCGTCCGGATGTTTACAAGCAGTATTTGGAGCTGGCTACGAGCTCGCTGGATGATGCATGCCGAAACGGGGTCCCACTTCGATCGGGTCAAGTGCTGCATCCGATACCGCTTGGGCACAAGGGTGATTGGTCGTACATGGTTCCTGTTGTTCAAGTTAATTTGTTTTGTATGTTCAGGTATAGTTCTGCATGGTAATATTGTACAAAGCAAATATGTCCTGAAACGAACGAATTCTTTGGCTGATTGAATCCTCCTTCAGGCTACCAGTGCAAATTTGAACCGTTCTTTTAAGAATGGCCCCAAGTCCGCCAATGCCAGCAAACCATGCTCTGGTATCTGTCATTTGTGTCTGGCCGGAAGGCCGGGGCTGGACTTCGAAGATTTGTGCCTCAGTTTGTTGAGGATATTTTGTTGGTTTGATTCCCCCCTCCCCGAATATTGCATAGCATCATGCATCTTCCAAAACCGAGGTCTTCAAGGCCAGCTTTTCTCAGTACAATTGGTGCTGAGTTGCCATGGAACGAAGAACCTTGCTTCACGAGAATATTGCTCCACGAACCAGAGAGCAAGGCAAGCTTTTACAAAATCGATGTCTTTCATACGGTGAGCATCGGCTTGGGCAAGAACTACGCAGCGAGTTGCCTGGCCCACCTACAGCAGTTTTGCAATTGGTCGTCGATTGATGTCAGGCTGGAAGAGCTTTCGGCGAATTATCTCGAGTTCTGCAAAGACTCCAGGCTTCATAGTCATGTTTCGTTTTGCTCGCTATATGCCCGTGTGCAATCTTTTGTCTGCCAAAAGTGTGTATATACTGGTACATAAAGCGAGGAGCACTCCATAACCAACTTCGTGCAGCGATTGACGAGAGACAACTTGGGTTGGAAAAGCGCCAACCAGGAGGCCACCGGAGCATGGAATAAAGGAGCCCTCACCACGAGCCTATGCTTGTTTATCGAACATCTATGCACTATGTGGGACCTAGCAAATCATTCCGACGAGGCGAACCGTCTCATTGTTTCTTGGCAAGATAGGCCTATGTTGGCATAAAGTTTCTTGTAATTTGGGGCATGTTTTGAGATTTACAACTTGAAAGCATTTGTCGCATGAGCTGAAGGCTTCGTCCAGTCGTGCCCTGAATTTCTGGATGCGAAAGCTACATTCCGGGGGTGCTTGGTTGCCAGAACCGGAGGCCAGACCCATCAACCTGGCTGGTCGCCACTTCTTGGACTGCTATGGCCGTTTGGCACACTTGTTCTTTCTTCGATCTGAGCTCAAATTCGGCTTGGTGCCAAAAGCACACATGATGTGGCACCTAGTTCACACCATGGTCGTACAGACTTCAGAGCATGGTTTTTGCGAAAACCCTCTCATTGAAAGCTGCAGCATCGATGAGGATTTTATTGGGCGGTTTTGCTACTTGACACGTCAAGTCAGTCCACGGCTGCGAATACAGAGGTCGCTGGAACGATACCTCACACATGTGCAACTGTTGTGGCGACGAGACGCACTCTCCACGGCTTGAAAGATCGAGGGCTTCGTGTTTCAAAGGGTTATATGGTTGAGTTTCAATTTTCGGTATTCAGGTAGGGCGGGCCTTGGTTTCCCACGGCTTCTGAGACACCCCAACCCAAAGCCATTTTCGACATGGGTCCATATTGTATGTTCAACAAAGAGCCGAGTCAAGAATATCCGTTCAACCCGTTCGCTGGTCAACTTTATGCGTGGGCAACAACTTTATGCGATCGGTGCTGGTGATTCCTACACTTTATCCAAATGCAACCATTATTCAAGGCACACAGGCTTAGCAGGTATTACAGTATAGGTAACCCCCGTTAAAGCGGGTTTGCTCTGCAAAGCCGGCAGGATTCGGTTTTTCCAAACCACCTCTTGCGCTGCGTTGTGCGATGGTGGTCATGCAGGTTATTGAAGAACAGGCCTCTCCAGCCACATGCTTGCATTGGCTGTCGCTCTGACTGACACGCGCCCGAGAGCGGGCGCGCGGTGCGTGGGTGCGTGGGTGCGTGGGTGGGTTGGTGCGTGGGTGCGTGGGTGCGTGTGTGGGTGTGTGGGTGTGTGGGTGTGTGGGTGTGTGGGTGTGTGGGTGTGTGGGTGTGTGGGTGTGTGGGTGTGTGGGTGTGTGGG